AGAGCTATTTAGAACAGCAGATTCCTGACTCTGTTCCTGAAGATGTTACTGTATATTCATTTAGTATTACTACTACCTTTTTTCTCAATTTTAAGAATTGTATTTACATTTAATTTGAGCAAAACAAAGGAAAAATGGTCTGGTTTACTAACATGTTAATAAAATGTCTTCTATTTCAAAAGTAGATATTTCTGATATTTCTTTTTTTTTTTTTTTTTTTTTTCCTGTCAATATGTTATCATTATAATTAGTGCTTCTTTCCACAGGTATTTTTGAAGAGATATCCAGCTAAAATACTAATGTGAACAAATTAGCTGATAGATAAGTTATGGTTAATTATAGCATGCTACTGGGAAGCTACTGATGGTGTTAAAAAGTTTTGCTTTGCTTTGCTCTTCTGTTCAATCAGAAGAAAGAGAAAATCATTAATTTCCTATGCGTATGACAAATTGATTACACCTAAAAATACTTCAATACCAGTTTTAATCTTTTTATCTCTTTTCATTGCACTGTTACATGGAAACCAAGTTATATTATACTAAAGGCCATCAGGTTTCTAAAGCTGTTTCTTTCATGGGTAAATAAGTAATTTTGTCAGGAGATCGGACTAGCAATTTAAGTTCAGTTAAAGTGCCTAGATTTACACATTCTGTCTTCATTTTCCATGTTTTAACCTTGTATCCCCTGTGAAAGGCTTTATTCCAAGCAGCAGTGTTCTCTGGAGATCAACAGATTTTTAAAATTCTGTGTTAGTATTAATAATTGAAGATAGTATGGGTAGAATGCTGGTTATGCAGGCCTTCTGCCTGAACTGTAAGGAAGCAGTCCTTCTTATCTGTCTAAAGGATGCTATCTGTGTTTTAGTAATTGATTTTTATTTTTCACCTAGAAGAGCAGTTGATTCTTACCCAGCCTTGAAGGAAATTCTCAGACTTTGAAATCTTTCCTGTGGAAAACAAGTCTAAAATGCTGTTTCCTGACATGCAAATAAGTGCTGGGAAGTACAGTAAATGTCACAAAGGTATTACTTTAGGACATGGTTGAGTAACTTTGCATAATGACTCCTACTTCTGATTGTCTAATTAGTTATGCATAGCTGTAGCAATGCAATGCTATGCCTCAAATAGAAATCTTTTGTCATAATTTACTTGATTACATGTGTATGGCTGCTGTACTAAGGTTCCTCTCTTTGTAATGACCAATGCCACAGGCTTCAAATGAATATTACAAGAATTTTTTTAATGCAATTGTATCAGCTCTACGTGTGAATTAATCTCTCAATACATCAGTCATCGCATTTGAAAAAGGGATCTTAACATGACCAAAATTTCCCACTTCAAAGGAAAAATATTGGTCTTGTCTTCCTTTTGAGTGTTCTTTGGCTTACTGAGAAAGCTACAGTAACTTCCGAACAAAACTTGAGATAAGCTTGCTAGTCATCCTTTTGTTCTTACCAAGTAGCAATAGTCATCTTCTGTTTGCCTTGGTTCCATCTATGAATGACTTTGTTTATTTCTTGGTTGGTCATAAATTTCCACAAAAGTATTAACTGTCACACTCTAAGGAGTGCCCATGAGTATGATTGCTAATGTAGATGGAATAGGAATTCTTTCTGATGCTTACTTCATCCTTAGTAAAGCTGCATAGTAAATGCAAAATCAAAGTTATCCCATTTCATTTCTGGCCTGACATTTATTCACATATATAAGACAGGAAAACCAAGAAAAGTAAGCTACATCTAAGGGTACTCTTCTTAATTCTGTTGTGCTCCTATCAAGCTCTTTAAACAGACTCCTGCAATGTTCTGAAGTGACAGGAGTGAAAATGTTCTCAAGTGACATTGCCTTTTGTCAAGACTTGTTGCCACCACCGAGAAAGATCAGAAATGACTTTCTTCTGAGAGTAAGAAAACCTGGGATTGTTAATGAAGTAGTGCTAAGACTTACAATACGCAATCACTTACCAAAAATTTTATAAAGAGCTTTAAAATATTGCACAGGCCAGCCCTTCCCTTTTGGTGTGCGAAGACTATGAAGTTGCCAAAGTTACACGTGGAAAATATGTTAAAGATATGAAGTTGAGTGCTGTGTTTGAGAATTAAGGCTTTTTTTTTTTTTTTTTTTTTTTTTTTAATCAAGTCTCCTAAACTCCCCATGGGAGTAAGATCAATTTATCATTTGTCATATCTAGATGGTAAGTAAATGAACAGTTTCACCATTGAGCTTGCTATCCAAACTATTTCAAGAGGAATATAAATGCATACATCACTTACAGTGGCCATATGGCAATTCAGGAGATAAGTTCATGTTCTGGTCACTATACATCTTCTCCTATATTTCATAAACCTTTTCTGGCTTATTTTGGTGCAACATCTGAAGTAAGAGCCACAGAAGATTACGTGTAAGTTTGAGGATCTACTCATCATTTTAGGGAATTTGAACCAGACTTCAACTATAGTGTTTCTAGCAGAACAAAAAAAGATGTGTCTGTAAATATTTGTCTGTGGAACCTGGAAACATAATCTAATTAATTGTCAGAAGATCTGTTTTAGTGAGAGATAAACTTGCATTATAATACCTTTCAAAATAATAATAAAAAAAAAAGTGGAAAATGTACTTCTTTATATTGATTTACATTCATTTTATTACATATAAAACTGGTAACATGTTCTAGTATTCATTTAGTTTTTATCTCTACCATCTACTTAAAATCAACCTGGTTTTCAGTTTTAGAATATTTGTGGTATTAACAATGGTTACTGATATTTTATGAGGAAATATATCAAAAGATGAGTATATCTGTCATATATTCTATTCACTAAGAAGTCTCTGGGTCTTGATGCTATAAATGAATTTTTATGCTGCCTATTTTTTCATTGATAAAGGAAACAAGTACAGATAATTGTTTTTGTAAGCTCTAGGAACATATTTTTTCTCAGCTGTCTGTGAAGATGATGCAAGATTTTTGGGACATATGAAACAGAACATTTAATTTGAACATATTTATCAACTGTTTAATTTCACATAACTCTTTCAATCTGACTCTGGAAAGATGTGTTAGGTAGCTAAGAGCCTACTGCTATTGGCCTTTCTCATTTGACATTTTTTACAAGATTGATTGCTTCTGTTGATATGAAAAAATATCAGTTGCTCCATAGGAGAATAGCTAGTAATGTGTTGGGGTTTTTTTTTCCTATATCCTTTGCATTAAAAAAAACATACTAGAATTCATTGTAAAAATGAAATTGGAAGTTCCAAGCTACTTGGAGCTCAGACATCTAGTAAAATGAACAGTGAGATTTTTAAAGTTACTGTTTAATGATAATGTGATAGAACTTCCGGAGAATTGTAGAAGATGTCTGAAGCAATTTAATTTAAATCAAAAGCTATTTACCACAGGTTGTTTGTTTTCTGGAGAGCAAGATAACAGTTCTGTAGCAAGTACTTGAGAAAATCATCCTTCATTATATGCATCTTTCAAAGGGAAAATTACATAAGCAGCTGTCTAATCACTTCCTACCTTGATTGTGATTTATTTACTTACATACCTGCAGTAATTTATATACAAGAAGATTTGAGCCTTTTTTGCAGCAAAATAGATGAGTGCATATGTATCATAAAAAGTTTTAAACTGAAAAAGGACACTTAAAAGACCAAAAATTTAAAAAACATGTAATTTTTTTTTAATAATGTCTGACTCTTTATGAAAGTAGCAAAGGCCCCAAGAAGAAATTTTTGAATTTTTTTTTAATATATAGTTTTGAAATCACTTTAATAATTTCTGAATTCTGTTTTTCTGTTTTTATAATGTCTCTCTATCCCTCCTGACTGTATTCCATTTCTTCCCACATAATTTCTAATTGTCTGAACCACATGACATATTCAGAATTCAGCCATTTGTGTAATAAGCATGCATTTCAGATAATTACTACCTTTTTCCTCTCCCAGCTACTTTCAGAAGCTCTATATTCTTTATAACTCTAGTAAAATTTATTTCTAGGCCAATGACAGATTTAAGAGCTAATGTATTACTTTATTAAATGTACTAATTTGCATTATTTTTGTCTAGAGTTACAGTAATTGGATAAAATGTTTCCCTGCTGAAATTATTTGAAAAACTAAACTTTTATTGACTTCATCTGGGCCTCCATTAAAAGAGTGAAATCTTCTAATTTCATCTCAAATATATAGAAAATCCTAACAAAAACAGTTCTAGGCAATTTTAAATGTTACTGAAATTATTTCTTCTAACTATATATGGAATATTTAGCTTGGGCAGCTAAACACTGGCATAGTGCTGTACTGTACAATGTTCATATTGTAAGAGAAGCTGTTAAGTGTTTATATTTAACTTGTCTATCATTTTAATTATGCAGAGCTTATTCAACCAATTTATTGATATTAATAACTACATCTCATGTTTTGGAGAGAACAGTGTGAAAGAAGTTTATGAGTAGTACAGTGCTAAAAAAAAAAGCAACCAACCAACATCTGTCTCATCTCATATTGCATTTGTCAGGAAAGTTATATACAGCTTCCAAAGTCAATGGCTATTCGAGAAAACTTGTCCCAAGCTGCCACAGGAAAACAGATTCTGGTTTTGAACTGCCAGAGGAGCTCCAATGACAGCTGAAGGGAAGCATTCTCTGTGGGTTGGTTGTGTTGTCAACTTGAAATGTATTTCTGACTTTCAAGTAGTTGGTTATGAAACAAAAACAATATTTTATAATATTCGGGGAAAGGAGAGTGAGGACTGATGCATAACTGTTCCTTTGCAATGACTTTTGTGTTGCAGCCTCTCATGACTTAAATGGTCTATCAAATTGGTGCTGCTAAAATTTTAATATCAATCACATTTTATTTGTCTCTATAATGACATAGAGCAAAACCCCTGTTTATATTTTCATAGGAAATGTCTGAAGAGAAGTTAATGTCCGGAAATCAATAACTCAATCTCTATATATTTAAATGTATTCAATAATTAATCTTTTCTTTTTACAGTGAACTTATCCTGTCTAGCATTGATATTAATGCATCTGGAGATTGGGAGTGTCTAGTCAACAATTCCTATGGAAATAGCACTAAACATGTAGAAATTGTGGTACTGGAAATGGCTGCACCCTACTGCCCTGCAGAAAGAGTTATTAACAACAAGGGAGATTTCAGGTATGAATTCCTGGTTTTAAGTATGTTGATGTAGATATGGGCAATATCCATGTTTACATGATGAGTCAGGTACAAACATGTCACTTATTTTTCTTGTCATTGTCATGGAATAGAGTAGGAAGGAAGAGCACTGTGTGATTATTACGGGAAGTGACAGATAGTGTTTGAAGAGCGGCAGTGGTTTGTAAAAGTCTGAGAATCCTTCTAATTCCTCAGTGCGAGCTTACAGAAAATTTCAGGTGTAGACCTTCACAGCTAAATGGATGAGGGTTAATAATTTCTGAATTATAAAATATAATAACACTACATTAATGCATTAGGAGTTTAAATCTTCAGTACTTTCTTAATCTAGTCCAGTTCTGCTACTTTTGTTCACATGAGATTAGAAGTAATAAATACTAAAAATAACTGTTAAAAAAAACTGCTAAAAATGATCAAAATAGTATATACTACTTGGTTAAAACTAATAGATCATTAGAGGTGAGCCTAAGAACATATGCAGTTCTACCATTACATAACATGATTAGAAAGCACATCCATCCTGCTATCTGAATGTTATCATCTGCACAGTATTGTTGACTAAATGCAGTTTTTGTTTCATCTTAGTTTTACCACCATATTTTAGTGGCATTTGTTTTTGTTTTTAACCGTCCCCTCTACGTTCCCCCCTTCCTCCCCCCCCAGACTATAGTATTTAGCACCAGGAGCATTTTTGTCATTTTGTATAAATTAAAAGAAGTGCCCTTTCCCTATTGATCACTTTTCCAGAAGTCTATACGCATTTATTTTTAAGATGTATATTTAAGGGGTGCTGAGTCCATAAATTCCTTTGGCATTTGAGAGGAATGAATTTAGAATTATAGAAAATTTATCAGTCTCAAGCCTAGCATGAGTACTTGAAACTATTCCAAAAGTTTATCCTCAGACATGCAGCTATCTCACCAGTAATTTTTCTTGGAAAGGTCTTTGAAGTATTCATAACATAGCAAGTATGTAAGTAAAAAGAGATGTAGCACAAAAGCAAAGCTGGAAAGAACAGTTCTTTTATTGAGGAAAAAATGAAAAAATCTTTAGCAATTTTGGAAGCATCGTTCTTTCAGTTCACCAGCCTAGGTGGTATTTATAATTGCACAACTGCCGTCAGAGTTAGGCACAATGTGAGTCACATTGAACTGGCTTTAAGTAATCAGATTTTTTCTCTATGGTGGCCATATTTTGCTGATATTTTGCTTTACAGCTCACTATAAGATAATTCTGAGATGCAAAGGTATGTAATGTTACAATTTCTAATCATAAAGACCAGATTCTGCCAACTGTGTTAAGTGTCAGTGTGCTTTATTTTCAGAATAGTCTTTTCTGTTTTACTTTTGAGGTGGGGTGCTACTCTAATTGTATTAGCACACAATTAGTACAATTGCGGCCCAATAGCATTAATGCTGATATTTCACTAAACTAATATTTCAGTGCAGAGGCAAGACCAGTATATAATAATACTATATGTAGATATTTTTTTTTTGTGATGATCCTTTCATGTTTCATTTTGCTTCAAATGATTATACATCACATGAATTTCTCCAGTGACAGTTAGCTTTGGCGCATAAAAATAATTCTCTTCTTACCTTTCCATTTTGAGACTAAGAAAACATACAAACCTAGCCTCAAACCTGTCCTTATATTATGTAACAGTGTCAAAATGGATCTGTGTCTTTTAAGTAATAGGAGCTAATATGCGTGAATGAGCAAAGGTTGATTATCAAGGTGTGTGTCATTGGCAGGCAGAATTTTTTTTTATGATTGGTTTCAGTCATTACATCAGTGCAATTAAAGTTAAAACCACATCCTTTCCAGACATGTTGACTGTTGGCACACAGTTTTGTTTGATTTTTCCGCATTACCTGATCTTGCTACAGCCATACTAGCCTGAAAATCACCATGGATTTGTACCCAAAGGAATAGATTGCATTTGTGTTGTTAAAGAGAATGCAGCAGATATACAAAAGATTAATATTCCAAAATAGGCCCCTGAAGTAAACAGAACAATTCTGGCTCCTCTTGACTTACTGTTTCTTTTAAATCTCATATAGTAAATACTTCATTTTTGAGATTTATCTCCTTCTTCCTCCACAAGACAATACCCTCTGCTCAGACCATACCTATTGGCTTCTGATATATCCAGGAATTTTTGCTTCTCTAAGCTTTGCCGCAGAAAGGGCTACGTAGCTTTAGGTCAAAATGAAAAGTACAGATTGTTGTCTTTATTTTGAGCCTTTACGTTTTGCAACATTTAGTAATATTGTTTTCTTCTTGATGAGTTTCTGCTGTGCCTTATGCAATCTTCATAGGCAAAAATTGGAAAAATTCCATTCATTTATTTTTCTTTAACACCAAACACCTTCCTAGAATTAATTCAGAATTAATGTGTGGCTAGCCAGCCTCAAGCCTGTGTAATTTCAAGATTTTCATGGAAACAAAGTAATGCATTATAGAACACAATGAGGTAAAATTTAAACAGCCATTTTTTTCTCTCATATATCATGCGTATTGTTACTATATTGTCAGTTGCCTTTAAATATGAAGTTTTATATTTTAATTTTTTGCTTCCCTGCTGTTCACAGGTGGCCCAAAACTTTGGCTGGAATCACTGCTTATCATCCTTGTCTTCAGTATTCATTTAACTCCATTGCCTTTCACAATGGTGTAGAAGAGTCTAAGGCATGGCGTAAATGTAATCGAACTGGACGCTGGGATGAAGAAAACTATTCTGAATGTCCTTATTCACAAGAAATAACTCAAGTTCTTCATGCTTTCAGTCAGGTAACGCTGAAATCCAGGGCTTCTTTTCTGTAGTACTGATTTTATGGGATAGCTTGCAAGAAAATGTTTGTTCAGCCACAAGTATGGGATATTTGGGCTTTGAATAAAATGTTGATGTTTTTATTTATTTATTTATTTTTCTGGCAGTGGTTTTGGTAATTGATGGTGCCGTAGCAACATGCAGTGCGCAGTATCTATTGTCTTTAATATTTTTCTTTCTCTGGGTGTCTAGAATCTAGACGCCATTAATAACGTTAGCAGGGTCATCTCTGCTTCACTGCAGTTCCTTATTTACCTACTCCTCATGCATTTTTACCAGAAAGACATTAATTTCTCTCGAAGTTCTATATCAGGGTTTTGCTGACTGAAGTCTGTTTTCCCACTGCTGTTGTAATATATTTAAAAGAGCTGCAGAAATGAGACCAAAATGTCTTCCTGATGTATTCCAGGGTAAAAACAAATAAACAAAAAGACCAAACAAACAAACAAAAACAAAACTCCAAAGCAGTATTCAGTTTCTTTCGGATCCTTTCAGTATTTCAGGGTTTCTTACTGATAAGTTAAAGAGAAGGTGAGATTTGAAAAAAAAAAAAAAAAAAGCATATGGGTAGAAATGAAAAAGAGCATAACAGTGAACAGTGAAGAGCATGAAGAATGGTACTGGTCTGTAACTTCCATAGTAACTTTTACCACTTTCAGTTTGCTTGATGATTTCTTCCTAATTAATAGCACTAGATGCTAGATTGCTTTAAAGTTTATTCTATGTTAATAATTACTATGTGAAGAAATCCAATGGAATTACATGGTTGTAATTCTGTGTGGAAGAAAGGTCATCTCTAGACTCCAGAAATCCCACCTGCTCAAAGCAAGGTAAGCTACAAGGTTAAGTCAGGTTTCTCAGGCTCTTTAAAAACAGGTTTTTAAAAACCTCTGAGGATGGCTGCACAATGTTCAAATACCTGACTATTACCCTCACCATAGAAAAGGTTTTCCTCTTATTCTGCCCAAGCTTCTCTTCTTTCAGCATAGTACCGTTGTCTTCTCTCCTTCCACCATACTCTACTGTATACATGAAACCTGACTGGCGTCACTGTTCTTGTCAGTGTTGCAAAAACAAGGACAATTTTTAGGCTGATGAAATATTTTGAGGCCTATGTGTTCCTGTCTAGAAAAATTAGTCATGCAAAAATTTTCAGTATTTGTTGACATGTGGTGGTGTCTGGAGATGACAGCAACTGAATCTGAGACTTAGGGTAAAATATTCTACTGACATTTATGTGTATAGTACTAACAAGTGAAATAATAGAAAGCATTATACAAATGGATGGGATCTCTATTTTTAGCAAAGAAAAAAGCCAGCAGATTCATCACACCAAGCAATTCTCATGTATTTTCAGATGCACATCAATTTGACGACTGTACTTGAATTTTCCCGCCAACTGACAGCCTACACAAGAGGTGCTTCCCACTTTGCGGATAAAATGGATGTAATATATTTGGCTTATATAATGGAAAAGTTAATTGTCTTCGTGGATGAAGTTGAAGATGTAAGATATCTTCTGTGTACTGAAAGTATCACGTAGAAGTGAAGCCTCCACATATGGCCATGTTCTTAATGTATGCAGGCACACACTGAAGCTTCTAAAACTGCTTGCCTGCTATTCAGCCACAAACATTCCGCATATGCTGCTGCGTCTTTCTTTATGTCAGACAGCTGAGCCATCTCATCTGACTGACATTATTCCTTGTGCTAAGGAAGAAAAATTGCATTTCAATAAGACACATCCTTAATTTTCTTTTTCATTTTTATTTTTGCCATAACTTACATTTAGAATGAACTTGAGCTACTCCTCAAACTGGCCACTTTTTTGCTTTCATTTATAAGTTCCTCATCCTTTTATTTTCTCCATTTCATCAGGAGATTTTAACTCAGTTTACTCAGTGTAGCAGTTTATATAAAGAGAAGAAAACATGGCTTTTAAGTACAAATTTCCACACGAACTTTTAGCATAATGTATTCTATTTTCACAGGGAAATCTAACAAGAGTCGTGCAAATCCTACGGGAAAAATAGTTTTTTACAGACAGCAGCAATGTTCACCATAGTTTTTACTGTTAATTTTCAGAGTGACTGCTTTTATAAGATTTCATAACTTGTAATTTTTGTACACGATAGCTATCATTAAAACGTATGTTTTCTTTGGTTTGGCAGCATTCATTCCATTCTTACTCTGAGGATTGTAACAGTTAACATTTTAGTGTCAATTTGAGAAATCCTCCAACTTCAATTTCATCATCATATGCTAGGCCTAAACTGTGTTATCAAGGGATCTCTAAGAATTGTGTTTCAAAGCTACAACTATGAAAGCCTCTTCGTTCAAAATCCTTTCTGGGAAAAAAAAAAAAAAAATATCCAAAAAGAAATATTTGAATGTATCCATGAGGCCTCTTTATTTTTCTTGTACAAGCAATTGATGCATTATGCATTAAAACTGAGCATCATCTCTGATATCTTAGTTGATTTGTTCCATCTTTAGAGTAGGTTTCAGTTTCTGGTTTTTGGTACTGAAGCTTCTCCATTTCTGCCACTTATTTCTACATCACTTATTTTGTAATCTCTTGTTTTCATAATTTAGAACACTGTCTTCATTCATCTGTTTCATTCTTTTATTTTGATTTTTCTTTTTTTGTGATTTTCAAAATAACTTTAAACATCTGTGCCAGAGGAGGTGACCCATTGTTGCTGAAATGTACCCCTCACTGCCTCACAGTGCTCATATCCACATGTTTGGTCTCCATAAATGTCCAGCAGGCCTTGATGAATGTCAGTGGGTGCCATTTTTTGCAGAAGAAGGAATTCAGTGACCTACCTTTGCTTCATATACACTCCATATCAATCACCATTTTGTCAGACTGCTCTTCTGCTGCCATCCATCACACAGCAATGAAATGTAATGGAATATTGGCAGAAAGGTTCAACCTGTAATACCATAGCACCAACATCTGCCACTGATATTGTGGACCAACATAATAAAATGGGAGGCATTACTTTTGGAGCAGCCTTTGTACATTTTAATAAAAGTTAGTGGTACTTTGACTCATCTTGGTTTCATCTCTCAAAGCGTCAACTGCTTTAAGGACAATTACCAGGAATATGTACATATATTAGCCAAAAACTTTGTATTTCTAGTGTCATGCCTTTATTCTTCAATGATGTATTTAATTATAATATAAATTAATACATCTTTTTATTTCTCATCTTTTTTTATATTTATAGCCAATTGTTCTGCCCTCAGTTAATTACTGCTTGCCTTATTAGTGCATAGTTTAATCTTTTTGCATAAATCAATCTTTAAATGTGTTTTATTATTATTCATTATATCCATAACTATTTTTCACATTGTCACATCCATCTACAATTACATAGTAATCACATGCTCAAAAATACATTAAATATTTCAGGAATAGTTGCATATAATGTCTGATTATTCATCTCTCTTTTTCAATGCATGTGAAATGTATTTTTTATTGGAAATTTTATTTTTTATTGGAAATGTATTTTTTATTGGAAAAAAAAACCATAGCTTGTCTATTCTTAAACATTTTTCTCCAATGTTGAATTTCTTTCTACATTCCACTGAATTATCTGTGTATTTGCATTATTTTTCTGTTCCTATCAGTTTGACATCTTAGCCTCTTAAGGGTTTTTTAAGTTGTATTTCTCTCTTGGTCATTTTTTCTGTATTCAGGTTCTGTATTCTTGTGTACCTTTGGCAAGTCTTTGTTTCTTAGAAAGTCACAAACCTTCAAAAATAATGGTAAACTCAGATTTACCATTTACCATCTTACCGAAAAATAAGTTTTAAAATTTTTGGAAGTAAATATTTTAATTTTTAATTGAAAGCATCACCAAAAATACTCACAGTGAAGGTTATTCTTTCTAAATTGAGTAAGCTAATAAGATTTTGAAACACATAGTCACATTAAAAACTCCAAAATATCATTTGACAAAGGCTGGGATATATCAAATAGAATTAGTCAGAAAAGTAAATTAAAATACACAAAACTATAAGCTCATACTTTCTGTATAGCCAGTGAGATACTTCAGGTTTGTATTAACACTTCACTTATATCTCAAATTTGCACTTTTAAGTCTGTAATTTATTTCAAATAAATTCTTTCTCCCCCGCAAGATTCTTTTATTAACTATAATGCAGTTTTTAGAGGATCATGGCCAATTTTTAATTGTTTAAGGAAGAGTTTAATAATTCTGGAATACTGTTAAGAGAAAGTGTCCCCCCTCTTTTTTTTTTTTTTTTTTTTTTTTTTTTTTTGTGGTGTGTCTTGTAGATAGACTTAAAAATTGTGAACTAATACCTTTTTTTTTTTATTTTTTTTTGAAGGTAGTAGAGTTGTTATTTTTTTGGTATTTACATTTCAGTACATCTAATTTTCTTAACAGAATGTGGTTAATAAAAGAAATACAATCCCAGTTCTTAGTTGTGTTTTTGCATACTTACTTCCTACTGTTGTATTTTGCAGAAAATACTTGTTTGTTTTTTAATTTTCAGATAGGGGATGCTCTCATTGAAATTGCCAGCAATATAATGTCTGTTGATGACCATGTGTTGTGGATGGCTCAAAAGGAAGACAAAGCCTGCACCAGAATTGTGCGGTGTGTGGAACACATTGCAAATCAAATACTGACCAGCAACATTCAAGTTATTTCGAAGGTATAAAATCACAAAGCACTTTTGTCAAAAATTATTTTAAAAATGTTTTCTTTGTAATTTTTATTTCTAAATTCTACGTAGAGAAGAACAAGACACAGCATAGCATAGATATACTTGGATTCTGTAGAATTTTTTTCCTGGATTCTGTTTGGAACACTGAAACATTTTCCTGAGAATCTCTGATGATATTAAGAATAATTTTGCTTGGCTTTGCTTTTATATATTTATTCTTACAATAGACTGTTTGCAACACTATATTTCTAGTTTTCCTAGCGCTTTGTTCCTATAGTATTTGGATTTCTTTTTGGAAGGGATACATTGAGTGAGAAATTTATAATAATAAAAAAAACAGGACACTCCCTTATTACTTAAAGTTCTCAATATACCTTTCAGGAAGGCGTCTAGATAACACTTTCTAAAGCAGTTAGAAAATATTCTAAAAAGATGTCATAAAGGTTATTAATTTGCAGTCAGTGTTATTTAGAAGCAAGCTGTAGCAGTATGAAGTAACTGTACTTAGTTCTTGTTCTCCACCTACATGAATTTGTCATTTGTATACTGAGGAGTTGTCATTTGGGTATTGAGAAACTGTCTTTGTCACTTTTAACATCTAAGTGGTAGAAATATGTGGAAGGTAGAAAGGCTTGGAAATTATAGAATTTTAGATAAATATTTCAAAGCCTTATTACTCTCTTAATTATCTTGATTTTAAGCAACATTTATTATTTTGTCAAGTGCTCTATTTTATTTTTATTTTGTTGAAGATACTGCAGAGAAGTGAAATCAGTGTTAGCTTAAATTAGGGCAATAAAGTATTTAAAAAAATATTGAAAAAAGGAAATGTGGACCAAGTTGAATTACATGCTGAGCTGAACAGCATAATGACTTTAGTCCCTTTGCTGTATAATTTTAGTATAGTGTAGTATTCTTCTACTTGAAGAATAAACTGACAAAACTTCTTGGATTTTTTTTTTTTATTTAATTCTCTTTTACATAAAATGATCAAATTTGCTAGAATTGTTTATTTTTATTAAGCATGCAGAGACAATAATTTGCTTTTTTGAAGTATATTGTAATGTGACAGCTAGGAGGCTTCTGTTGCTTTATACTTAAGGTATCTTTTAAATGTCAAGTGCCAAAGGTCTTTTTTTTCTTGTTACTGCTTCAGAAGGAAGTTGACATTACTGTAAACAGCAATGTTCTGTACTGACATATAGATCTCAGTCTCTAGCCTTTTTACTGTGCCTTATATTTTTCACTTCTTGCAGTTTTCTGAAGGATAATTAGTTTATGGTTCAGTGCAATTTGTAAATAAACAAAGCTGTAGAGTTTTTCTTTTTGTCATCTCACACAATACCAAACATGTCTGTTCTTTCTGCCAGCCAGAAGACTATATGCAGAAATTGCATCTGCTTTCACCTCTTTTTTCTATTTTTTACCTTTTTTTTTTTTTCTTTCAAACAACAGCACATAAAACCCTCAAAGCTTAAGTAGCCACTGGTTTATAAAATACTTTCTGAAAAAAACGGACCTTGATAAATTATGTTAGTTTTACAACATATGCACAGCTGCATTCCCTATAGACTGAGAAGCTAACTGGAAGCCGTGGCTTCTGCTGTTATTCCTATGTTATTTTTGGAAGACAAAAATGGTTTTCCATTTCGTGGAGGTCAGAAAAATGCCAACATGGAAACAGTCATTTAGATCTTCTTAAATCTCTCTTGCAAAATATATTGTAGATACACCCTGGGGTATTGAAACCCGCACAGAGGCCCTGTGCACAGCCAGCAAGGTGTATCCCAAATTAATTTCCCTTCAGTATTGTTCTGAGGTACTTACTTCTGCTGATATTTTTGTGTTTACTTATGTCAGATCTGCAGTTTGAGAAAGAAGACTTCCAGCGGATGATAAAACTTGTCTCCTTAGTCCTGTCAGGGGTCTTTAAGATTGATAGATTGACTTGGCTTAGAAGAGACCTTAAATTCCCACACAGTTCTGTCCTCTGATGTGGGCTAGGTACCATCCACCAGATCAGGGACTGGGACCCCATCCAGTTCAGCCTTGAACACCTTCAGGGACAGGGCAACCACAGATTTGCTGTGACACAGGCCTCTGGCTGTGACCATTCAACCAATTCCTTATCAATCAAATAGTCCATGCACCATCTCTCTCCAATCCATATCTATCCAATTTAGAGATGAGGTTGTTGTGTGGACCAGCTTTTGGCGTGTTCATTTCACTCTCCACCTGATAAAAGCCAGAATATTTAATTATAATTGCAATATAGTTGTTGTTGTTTTTGGTTTTATTCTTCGCCACTTTGTACTATTCTTGTATTACCCCTATAAGGATCCTTTTTGGCCATTTTGCCTTCATGTAGGTTTAGAAAATGGACTCCACATTGTCATTTTCTATATCTCCAACTCAAAATTATTAGCTCATGGTTTTTCGTAACATGTACCTTTCTTACAGATGCTTGTTTCCATGGATAATTTTGCTCTGCATTCATCTACATCCATTTCATAATTCATTTGAGAGTCCTAATAAGGAACAGCTTCAACTTCTATTTTACCCGTCTGTTCCTATATACAGTGTGTTCACACTATTTAAACATTGCCATAGGATTATTTTGAAAATGAAAAGATTAATGTTTAAAGAGTTTTGTATTCAGAATTTAGAAAGTAGGGCTTCCTTGTGAAATCACTTGAACTGTCACTACAATATCCTCCAGCTGACATTTTCTTATCATCGTCTCACAAATATGAATGAAGAAACTAGTTCTATTTCCATTCTACAGCACAAAGCTTGAAGTTCTAAATAATTAAATGGCTCTAGCCAGGGTTTTAGAAATGCATTACCACAAAGAAGTTTTAACTGAGACATGTAGCTTGATTCTGGTAATATGGATAATAGCACTATGCAAACATGATAATGGAATGTGATCTGTGAAAGACATTCATTCAATCCATCAATCCATCTAACAAATAGCTAAGCATCTTTCTATTTCATTTCTATGGCACAGAACACATCCTTGTCCATTTTAAAAATAATTTCTACTACTGCTTTTGCTAATTGACTTCATATCTGTATTGCTTTAAATCAAGATTAAATCTGCTGAAGCTGATAATGGCACAGTTGCAAAACTGGTACAGATTGAGAAATAAAGGTATTTTAAAATATTTATTAGCTGTCTTGTCATCTCTTTTTACTTATACCTATGAAGTTCTCAAGCAATCTGTCCATACTGTTGTAGAGTTCTATATCAGTTTTTAAAAATATGTTCCATTTTCTTTCTTACTCATATGCATTATGTATGGAAGCATGTACAAACACAATCTTTATAAAGTATGTACAATAAATACACAATACACATGTAATTATATGTAATTAAAAGTAATGAGTTAGCAATATCTCTGCTTTTCAATATGCTTTGACAGGTATCTCATAATATTGCTCTGGAGGCCTTTATGATCAAGCCATCTAATTTCATGGGAATGACTTGCACTGCCTTCCAAAAAATACCTGCAAATGTTGACAAGTCAGTTGTACATGATTTGGGAAGCTGGGAAGCAGATCCCCGTTCTGATCAACATTTGAATTTCAAGTGCAACACTGGCAATCTGAATGGTTCCTTGTTGAATTCTTCTACCAGGGTAAGTCAGTGCAGTCACAGGTATAGTTTAAATTTTTGAATGTGGATAATAATTTCAATATTTAAATTGCTTTAGTATGTTGTATTGGGTATTTTGTTGTTCTAACATATCCTATACAAATAATGCAGAATGTGAATATAAATAAGTAAATATTTTGTTCTTTCTGTCTCCAGGTCTAGTTCTGAAAATGTTTCCACGTGTAACCAATCTATTTGAAGTAATTTGGCAGTGTTTGTTTTAGTGAAGTGCTCTCTGGATTTTACATTTCAGAAATTTTCAGACTAATAAGTCAGTGGAAATTATCTTTACATCCACTAAACAGTATTACATTCTTTTTTCTCTGAACTTTATGCAGAGGGAGGGTGCTACATTGCAGTTTTTGAGTAGTAGTCCGAGAAACACAATAATAAGACTGTTAATAGAACACACTGTTAATATCAAATAATGAAGTGGAACAATTAAGTTTTGATCTAGTAGGAAATGGAATTTTGCATTTGGCTGAGCATGTTATTAAATTTAAGTCTTGCAGAGTTGAATTTTTGTTATCCTTCAGCTGAATCTCAGTTTAATAGCCTTATTTCTTGAAATTCTTAATATGACAAAATGATACTTTTCTGGATAATACTACCAGTTTATTGAACTTTGAAATTATTTTGATTGAAGTTATTTTCTCTTTGGTGCATTTTAATCTTCTGTACAGGTTAGGCAGAGATGTGGCAGTAACTTATGCTCTGGTAAAAAGAGGCTGTCTAAATAATAGAAGAAGAGGCGGAATTTCTTTTTTTTTTTTTTCCTGCAATGGAATTAATTTCCTCTGCGGACACTGTTCACTTGTCTGTCTAGGATGACCTAGACAGTTGTCTGAAAAGAGGAGATTGACATTTATAAGATGAAAACCAAATGTCAGAGATCTAAAAGCTAAAACAGGGAGCTGAATCTAAAACATATATAAAGGAAATTCTAGTGTCTGCATGAAAGAAGATTACCTAGAACTTTGCGAAGCAATTTTAAAGTATATGATATATATCCTGTGTGAAGTGATGTTATTATCATTTTAGATCACTAGATCTCATGTCTGAATTTTCAACAACACACTGCAGAAGATTCAGATGTTAGTTTCATGGCCAAAAGACCAAAATTTACTTAGGTTGTAATGTAATACGTGAATCCTGAAAAGCAAGAAGCTTCCATTCATTGTTCTCTGTAACTTTTACACTAAGCACTCCTTTAACTCATTCTGAAATGAACTGTATTCCTTATGTTATTTTCTTCACAGTTTAATAGAACAAATTGTATAAATGTAATTGATTACAGAAAATAGAATTCTTTGTCATTATTCCAAGCCACACTAATTCTGTATTTTCTCTGTGGAGGCATACAGTAAACCTACTTCATAGTGTTGTATAAAATTCAGGAAACTAGAGTTTGTGGTAGAGGTGGGAGTTGCTGGTTTTCAAAATTTAGTCACTGTATTTTAAAGTACTCATTACTCTGACTACTTAGAACTTCATTTTAGATGATGAACTTATTCTTAGAATCTTTCTCTACTTAGCATAGGATTAATCATAAAGAAGAAAAAAAATCTAATGAAAATTCCTAAGTACAAATGATAATTATAACTTTAATTTACTTCTAATAAAAGCATAAAAGGTTGTCCTTAAAGAGCTCATTGAATGAAGAGGTTTACTGTTTTATGACAAAAACTTTATCTTTCTTCAAATGTATAACATTGTAAGTCATCGGCTCACTAAGTATAAACAGTTGTTTATGACAGTGATCTGTTGACGGCCAGTTCTACTAATGAATTAGAAAAAGTGTACATTCATAAAGCAGTTTGTGGAAAGCTGATGGGAGAGGACTAAGTAAGCAATCACAAGCTCTCTAAATAACACATCGGATTTTTTGTAGTTAGCCTATACTGATACTTTCAGGCACCAGTAGGAAATTGCTACAAATTTAGTAAGTAGTTGTCTATTAGTTGTTTAACCTGATCTACGTATTATGAAATAGAGAGCCCCCAAAAGGGGATGAAATACTGAAGGAAAAAATAAAATTAACAAGAATAATTGAAAATTAAATAATTTAAAAGATACTGAAAGAGGTTTTAAAAACGTTGGGAGATAACTTGAAATATGCGTATATCAACTTGTGTTTCAAATACGTGGAAAGTCCTTTCCAGTGTATGTGGAAAGACTATTTTGCAGTATTTAAAAATACTCTCAGGCAAAATATTATTTCAGTGTGATGCACAGATTTTTATCTTTCAATCTCATTTTGGCTCTGCAGTCAATAAACAATCTGAAAGACTGAAAAAATTATCACTACTGCAGATCAAAAGTTTTGCTGTTGTAGAGCTTAGACCCAGTTGCTTTGTCTTAAATCCCCTTTCTGCTGTTAGAAGTAGACATTTTTCATTGCCTACCTGAACTCTATCGGATGAAAAAACATGGCCCAGTTATATGTTCCTGTTTTATGATACAGTGGCTTGTATTTTGACACAGTGTATGTTTTGATCCTGGTTAAATAGGCCTAAAGGTGTCTTTCCAGTCTTCCTACTTAGAGGAGTGCTACTAATACACTGCCCCATAGCCTGACTGTACTGTAGGGATACCAGTACTGATAGGCAAATACAGGGCTACTGTAACACTTGAACTCAGACAGTATGAAAAGAGTTTAATGCTATTGAATATGAGTCTGCTGTCTGATTCCCATTTGATATATAGTAGTCTGAACATAATCCCTGTTCTAGCCTTATCCTATAAACTATCTCCAGTGTGTAAAGATATCAGTTATACAGTTAATTCTTTCCTCTGCCTCACTAAAATTACATCTCACTAAAATTACATTAAAATGAATTGTTTGAATGTCCTGCCTATCACAATTAAACATTAAGTTTATAGATGACTGTAAACTCAGTATTCACTCTTGGAATTTTAAGAAAATATTTTATTAACGTAATTCATGGTTTCGGTGTCTCTGTAAAATGTTAAATGAGTAAAATTGTTCATCTCTCTCTAGTTTCATTGGTTGTTCATTTCATGCAGGACTGAGTTCAGGGGAGCAACAATAATCTGTATCTTTCCATGTAATCACTGATTTCTGAAATTCAAATTTCACTTAAATATCCTCAATATATTTCATTTTACTATTACATTTTATTTAGTCTTTATATTTTTATGAGCCAGACAGGTCTTTTGATTTACCAGATTGCATTGCAGGTGATGTCCATATGCTAAAACATTAAAAGTTGGTGTTAGCATTGATACTAGCCATACTAATAATGAAGAAAAAATCGAAAGTGCTTTGACAAAATTGTTTGATCACTTACTTATATAACTTTGAGTCATTATACAATTATAGAAATATTTTTTCATAGTCATAATCATAAGTTGTATTAAAAAAAAAAAAAAGCTTTTTTCTTGCATAAAGTCAATTTGAATATCAAACCATAAAGATAATGTAAAAGTTTATAGTACATTCATATATAAAATTTGGCAGGATTTCACAGAAGAACTTGATGCAAGGATTTCTACTACTTCCCACTACTTTGATTGCGATAAAGCACAGAAAATCCCGAAGAGAAACTATGAAGGGAAAAGTTATAAGCTGCATAAGACCTGCTTTCTAATTGGCCTTTAAATAAAAGTGCCTTTCGCTGCAACTCAGTGTATGTGAAATGCTCCTAATCTTTATAGATAGTTAATTATATCAATTTAGAAGCTGTCTAGTAGGTTGTGCAATAATTAACTTACTCATTAATGCAAAAGCTAATTCTTATATAAATAACAATTACAATTTATACTGGAAGTTTCTAAGGCAGTGTTAGGTGTGCTGTTTACCCAGTTATATGTTCCAAAATGGTTTCATTTCTATGGTACTACTAAATAAACAGGTAGTTTTGACTTTAAGATTTGAACAGTGCCTCATACATTTTCATTAACAGAGGTTTATGTGTATTCTAATTACATGTGAACATGTTTATGTGAAGTATTTTCTTTCTTTCTGCTACCTTGATTGAGTTGCTTATCCATTACACATACATTTTGCAGAACACATGTACAGCATTTTTGAGGGCAAATGAAAAAGATCAGCTGAGGAAATTTTAAGTTCAAAGAAATGTGTAAAATTAGTGAAGTCAATTAAAATGTAATGCAAAATGAAAATATTTCCAGCAACTTTCACAGGAGTTGGCTATTTTAAATCAATTTTTCTGATCCAATCAGTCAGATTAACTGTTCACCCAGTCCTGATACTTCTTCATTCAATTTTAAACTTTAAAAAAAACAAAACAAAACAAAGTATAAATGTTTCCAGTCTTTTATTGAGAAGATTCACATAGCAACGTTGTATAATCACATACATCATACTAACAAAGTATTAGCTAAGGCACCCAACAAAATATTACTGTACTACCTACAATAAAATTAGGTCAGTAGGATAATTTTGTGTTTCTTCTTCTGGAGTACAGTAGTTGTGTTCTTATGTGTAGTATGAATGTGTTGGCATCACCATTTCTGTTATGATTTCTTCTAATTACTCAGCATGCATCATTTGTTAGAGAGTATTACAGCACCTTTATCACCAAACATTGCAAACTTTGATTATGTCTGTACAACATAGATTGCTACAAGATTATCATTTTATTTTTTTCTGAATCTGTAGCTTTTATGACTGCAGAAATAAACAAAATATTGCCAAGTGAAGCAGTAAACCAGGAAAAAAAAAATCCCACCTATTTTCTCAGTTTACATACAGTGAATATTACAGTGATGCAATGGACTCAGTACCAATAAACACAACATCATAACTTATTTTGGTTTCAAAGCATTTTTTTCTCCAAGTGTCATCATTATGATCAAGTTAAGACTCTTTACATTACATACTATAATTTTTCCTTTTCCTTTTCTTTTGGGAATTATCTATTTTTTCCCATTTTCTTCTTTGCCTGCTCCTTTCTTTTTGTGTCTTAGAACTCAAAACATTTTGCTCTTCTTTTATTG